GCACACGCAACACTCAGGTTCTGGAGCAGGACTGCAGTTCAGTAGTGGACGATCAACCAGAACTTTCCGCCAGAGTTTACAGCTGGTGAACGCGAAGAAGATTCCAACTGGGTCATTACTTTTTTTTTTGGGTTCCCGGGGAGAAAGTTGAAGATTGTTTTAATGATACATCTTCTCCTTCACTCGACATGTTGCATGGAGACCATTAGACTTAAATTTTCAATACACACGAAATAATAATATGTGACCGGTGATCATGGATTGTAGTCGGTTTATACAAAATACACAGCATAAAATAAGATCAGTGATGAGGACTGTAGTCTATTTGCACAACATCAAATGAAGGTGTGGGGGCTTCAGACAAAAGACAAGTGATAAACATTCTGCTGGTAAACTCCACAAAGCATTCAACTATATACTTAAAGCCAGGTATAAGGTACAACTGAGAACATTATAGATTTGTCTGTGGGCGTGATAATATTGTCGCATACACATTTAATACACAGGAAATTTAACATATACTAGAAAAAATCATAGCTATAAAAACTACATATCACTTTATACATACTGCACTACTAAACAAATATATTAGTGAAACAATTGCTGTTATTTAAATGACTGGTTAAAAAGTGTTCTTAAGGTAGCTGCAGAAGTGTGAAGTATTAACCTTTTACTTATACCACATTATAAAAAGGCAAAGGTAAGATCAGGAGATGTTAACCAGCGTCATTGTACACGGTTATAAACCATAAGTGCTCTGCCACCGGTACAGACAGCTGATAAGAATTGTTCGCCTGTGTCGCCGTTCACACGGAACAACATGGCTACAGCGATGTTCCTCCATTTACCCCAGAGTATCAACTCTGGTACCCATTTCCTAGAAGCTGGGTGAACCCTGGGAACTGCCCGGTTTCAAACACCGGCCGTGGGCTGCAGCGAGTCGCAGCTGGACTTCAAAGCAAGTCTCCTATCAACTGCGCTAACTCATCCCCCTATACTACATTATGCTAATCTTTATGACCTAATGGAGCAGTGATGTGCAATACAAGACTTTTGTCTTCTAGTCTCTCTTGCTCAAACCAACTTCCCCTTCATGTGGTGGACTCTGTTCTCTCCTCTAATCCAGTGGAAGGTTGGGGTTTCAACTCTCAGTGGGAAACTAGATGGGACAACAAATGAGGTAATCTGGTCATGTCAGCCAGATACTGTGTAGAGAGCATGGTGCGACACTGTGAGTAGTAAATTTCATGGGGGAATGTATATTGCCTGTGCTTCTTTAGATGTGTTCTGTAAACTGCATATTTAGAAAATGGTGAGTAGATGGCTGCCACAAAATTTGTGGTGTGCCTTACCCATGAGCACTTGCTACTTCTATTACCTGTTAGAAATTCTAGTGATAGAATGTAGGTGTTGGCACCTCTGTCAGCTGCTTTATGTATTTAATATGTGTGCGAGCTGTTGGGTTTAGTCGGAATGCTATCTGATTGTTCACATAGAACAGTATTGGCCAGTTTGTGTTTTTCAATGGCACAGGAAGGGAACAATGAGTTGGTGACCTAACTGATAGCCTAATAGCTAATGTTAGTTGAGGCTAACTGCTTACCCCACTGTCATGTTGCCTTCTAGGAAAAATCTGCTATTTTATAAAGCTGTAACAGCCCAAGAACTGCAAAGGGTGGGACCACCCCTACTGGGGATCGAACCCCAACCCACTATGATGTGTATTAACCACCATCCAGCCACAGCTGAAAACTGACACCAGATTTATAAGAACAACTACCAAAGGCTACCATTTGTCCTGATCAACATCAGACAAAAAATAATTCTGACATCAGGTTAATGTATTTCTGCTTCACGTTCACTGGCTGTAATCTCCAGTTCTGGTTGTTTGTCCACCTCTTGACATTAGCCTTGTTTCAGAACCTGAGTGCTGCGTGCACATCCAATTTACAGATCTGACTTACCTGTAAGCAGATTGTTGGTTCCTTGCTTTTTTTTTTTCAGAATGGCTCTCTGTGACGATAGTTGATCCAAGGCAATCTTGTCCATGACCAAACCATTTCATTTTAGTTCCATTATCTTTCTGGTGACCTGGATTCTAATTCCCACTTCTGTAATTGCTTTCTGAATTTGTGGATTGAATGAGATACAGATTTTCTTAATAAATAAGTAACTATGCAATATGTAAAGACCAGACAGAAATTCAAAATTCAAATCATAGAAATCTTTTCAAAGACCATGCCATTGGTAATATTTCTCTGTCTAAAAACAAAAAACAAATACAATATACAGAAACCCAAATTAAAAGGCATGTTAGAAAAATATCCTTTAGGAATTAACAACATTACAGTTTATTACACCTTTACACAAAATACATTATAAAACTATTTTGTTACAATAAAGTCAAGTTAATAAAAGCTATAATGAAAAGTATACACTATATAAAAATGCACTTGCATAAATAAATAAAACTAAACAATCACATACAATTTGCAAATAAAATATTATATGAAAAAGTGTAAGATCAATAACACAGACAGCTGTTCTTGCTTGCAACTAATATAAATATATATAAAATAGGCAGATTTGTAATGAGCATTAAATTCTGGGCATATGAAATATGAAAGCATAGAAATAAAAAAAAAATTCAACCTTAAAAATAAAACACTAAAAAAAGACTGCTGTGAGCTCTGGATTTCCCCGTGTGGGTTCCGGAGCCCCACTGCGGGGAAAACAAGAATAGACATACTGTCTGCCAAAAAAGCTTGTCGTAAGAGTTAACTAATTAGGAGCTTCTTTCAAAGTTGCAGTACATCGGTCTGAGGCAAGGAACCAACAGTCTGCATGTAAATAAGTAGACCAGTCAAACATATGTGCATGCAACACACAGTTTCTGTAACAGGAGGACTAGAGTCCAGAAGTGGATAAACAACTAGAACTTTCCGCTAGAGTTTACAACCAGTGAACATGAAAAAGAAGAAGAAGAAGAAGAAAAGTGAGCTCTGGATTATGATTACCGTTCATTGTAAATTAAGCAGATACCGCAAAAAGTAAATTTTAAAAATCTACTACCTAACAATCTCTGAAATGTAAACGACAGGCATTTATAAGTGACCTTATACAGAAATCTAATGAGAAAATGTAATCTCTTTTGGCTGTTATTTACAACTCAATAAAGTTAGAAGAAGAGAGGAACAGAGAATCAGGCATTGAAATGGGGAACTGAGAATGAGGAAACAGGACATCCAAGAGAATCCTAAAGCAAACACTGTTGAATGAAGCATGTCCTCCTCATCTTTTTAACTTCACTCTCTAGCTCCCTTCTCCTTGGGTCTTCCTTTATTTCTATGACCCTGTGAGTTCCAGCGCAAAGACATTCTAGTTATATTGTTCTCAGGTTTTCTTATTGTGTGTCCTATCCAACACCAGCGTCTTGTCTTCACCTCTTGGTTCACTTAAATTTGTTTAGTTCTCTCCTAAAGCTCTACATTAGTGATTCTATCATACCATTTAATTCCCTATATTCTGCTCATAATCTGTTTAAATCACCACTGATCATTGGCATCAAGAGAGCTAACAGACTGCAATGGCTCGGGCATACTGAGAGAATGTCAGATGACAGAGAAGTAAAAACTGTATACACGAGGGAGATGTACGGTTGTAGACCACGAGGCAGACCAAGAAGACGATGGAGAGATAATATCCAGGCAGACCTACAAACACTTGGTGTCACCAATTGAAAAGAGAAGGCCAACCAAAGAGATGAGTGGACACAGGTGATATCTGCAGCAACGAACCTCAAGGGCTAAAGAAGCAGATGAAGAAGAATTTAGCTCGGTCACCAGTTAATAAATGTTTGTAGTTTATTAGTAACTGCCTTAACTGTTCTCCATATTTCCACTCCATACTTAACATATTATTGGTACTTATGTTAGAACAGTTAGAACCACTGCATTAAAAGTTAGATTACACTAACTGGCATCATCAGAACTTGAACTCTTCACTGGCTGCTGAAGATGCTTACAGAGCGCTTATGGGAATGTGTCCAGTGCAGTGGTGTCGGCTCTCAACTAACCTTAACTAAGATACCACTACACTAAAACTGCTTGTATGTCTAAGCTAACTATTATTTTTTTTTTTTTTTTTTAATTTCAGAACAAGTTAAAATGCCTACAAGGAAACATAAAACGCCATGTCAAAGGTCGCCTGTATCTGGTTACACATTCTTTAAAACACATTTGTTTAAACCACCCGAAAGGTATATCTTTGCAGGTGCTCGACGATAAGCAATGCAGATTCTAAAACCATTTTTAAAAAAATAACGGGTTTTCCTTATCACCTAGACAATACAATTAGTTCTGCCTCTTTAAAATGTCTTTACAAAAATAAACTAAACTCAATATAAACCAAGAAAGTGCGTGAAATAGACAGATATATTTTACAAAGATAATACTGGAAGAATGTGGAGGTGGGTGTTGGTGACATCTACAGCAGTGAATGTCAAGGGATGCGGAATGGTGAAGAAGAAGAAGAAAAATATTACAAGCTGCTTAAATGGAAATAAAAAGGCAAATTCAATCTCTATGGCAGTGAGAAATGTCAAGAGAAACAAAAAAAAATCACAGAAATGGTGGGGGGAAAACAAATTGTAATAATAGCAATTTCACAGTCCTTGGTTACATAATTATGCCTTAAAATGTATGGGAATTAATACACCCATCCAAGATTACAAAAAGCAAATTGTTCGGATGGCTGAGAAAGAAAGAATACAAATATGATTGATTGTGTTGGGTGCCTGCACATACAACAATGAAACAAGCTAATACTGGTAAATATGATGGTTTAAAAAAAAAATGTGATACACAGAAAGCTGTGTTGTTTCAAAGAAAGATCTAATTCAGCCACATACAAAATTAAATCTAGGCTGACAATGTTAGTGAAATCTGGACACTGCTAAGAGTGATCACACATCTAATCTAGATCTGGGATAAGCTTAGCAGCTACAAATCTTCGTGAAAAAGCTGGGTGGCCAGTACATCTCCTGTTACTATAGTTTGGCACCCGACTGTTACAAACTTAACATCTTCAGACTCTGAGCCATTCCTCAAAGCCTCAGAGCTGTTGCTTTTATTCAGTGGTGGTTTGGCACTGTCCTGCAAGACAGACCGATTCATGTACTGTCTCTCGGCAACCATGGACACTTGAGGAGACAGCTCACCTTCATCATCGCTAAAGTTTAACTCATCCACATCTTTCATGCCCTCTAGCTCCACGTGATGAAAATTCCACACAGGCACCACCCCTGCTCCGCTGGGAGCTGCATCCTGGAAGGAGTACTTGATTCCTCCTATGCTGAGAGGTGTTGTGTTAGAAAATGTACTGTCGTCCAAGTCTGGGTAAATCTTTCTGATCTCATCATTCATATTACCTAAAGGAACTTGAGGTTCTCGGGATACTCCATCTAATGGAAGATCAAGTTTAGCAGCAACTTTCTCTATCAGTTCCTCAATAGACTCGTTTTCTTTCCAGACTTTGGTGGCTTTCCATCGGGCTCGGCTGCCTTTTGGGGCAGGAACAGCATCAAAATACACCCATTCTCCAATCTTCAGCAACTTGTTAAGATCGTCAATATTTTTTCCGAAAATTGTCCGGTCAATGAATACATGTTCATGCATGCCAAGGTCAATAATGCCCCACAGTTTGGCCACATGGAAGATCTGACCCTTCCGTCCACTCACAGATGGTTTCATTTGGGCATGTGGTCGACTACCTGTGATGATAACATTCAATCTGGTGTTTTTAATTACAGAGACAACTTCGTCTTCATCAACAGTGAAAATGTTATCATGCTCTGAAATGAACTCGTGCAATTCTGGCTTACTCCAGCCTATAGTATTTCGAAGACTCTCTGGTGCTTGGCTGAAATGCCCAGATAGGCTGTTGACTTTCATATCTCCCTTCTTTTGAATTATGCTCTTAATAAACATGACTGCTTTGTATTCATTGGCAGTCATGGTAACAGGTCCCGCTTTATTTGTTACTGAAGGAGCAGGCGCAGGAGTAACTGTCACAGTACGACCAGTAGACTGTCTTGGTACATCAGATACATCCTGAGACTTTGGACGGCGTTTGATCTTTGGTGTGGCATTAGGTATCGGTGGAGGTTCTGAAGAGGAGTCACTATCAGCAGCGTTGCAACGGATATTGTCCTTCAGGCATACACACTCATCTTTGACCTCAAAAATCAGCGGGTGCTTCAGTAAAAAGGACAAAAATTCATTTTGTGGTCCTACGCACTCTCGAATTTCAGGAGAAGCTTGAGACAGATGCCCTGCCAAACTCTTCACGGGCATCCACTTGTCGCCTTTCTTCAAAATTTTCCCTCTGAAAAACTGAACCGCCTCAGTTTCCATAGAGACATCAGGCAGACAAGAGTGACCCGAGGAAGAGGCAGGGCTGTTCTCGCGAAAATTTCCCCCAAGGGCAGAACCGTCGTTCAGGCTGACGAGGTTACCATTGACAGAAAATAGGGATGGGTACTTCAAAAGGAACTTCTTTAAACCAGCTTCATTTCCACCAGCACTTTGTCGCATCTCGGATGTGAAGTTGCGGCTTCCAAAGCGACCAGCGAGCTGGCTAATGCTCATTGGAGCATTGCTGTACATGAGAATCTCCAGAAAATACAACATAGCTTTGTGGCCAGGGTCGTCTGCCATCTTGTTTATTGAAGTTTCAATAAGCGAAACTAAAAAAATTGAAATTTAAGATGGTAGTGACTTCTGCAAGACTCTTTCTTTAGCTGTGACAAGAAGTCTGCTTTTGATCATCGAAACCAAGGCTTCCTCCCTTTTCCCCCCTGAGGAAGATATACAAAAAGTATAAATTAATGAAAGCAATATTTTTAATAGAACTATGAAACAGCACTATGCCCGGCACGCAAGCTTAGTTGTTTAATCCAGCCTGCACAGCGACCGGGTGACAAACTCCTAGTGGTCCGAGTTTGCGCCCGGGGGTAGGCAGAAAAGCCACATATTTCCCAGATTTACGGTATCTATCATGAAATCAAGGTCGAAGGGTTGTGATATCTATAGTACCGAGCTAAAGGGTTTACAACTTATAGTTTCTGGATCAATTAGAAAAAAAAATATCACTATGAAAGCTGTGGGAGTCAAAGGAAATTAAAACTATCAAAATATTTAAATCAAATATAAAGTCAGTACTGCTGAATGGAGCTGAAACTTGGAAAAAAAACTTGAACAATTACCAATAAACCACAAACATTCATTAGATAGTGTTTGTGCAGAAAATAGGGAGTTAAATAGTACACCTAAATCCCTAATGAGAAACAGTGGGGAAAAACTAAACAAAATCCAGAGAATCAAAAAAGTTGAAAAGAGATGACATACACAATAGGAAAACTTCATTTTATAACTAGAATGTCTTCACACTAGAAACCACAGAGTCAACGGAATCAAGGCAGACCAAAAAAGACACAGAGGGGAGAAACTGAGAATGAAGTGAAACAGATGGGAAGGAGATGGAAGAGCTGCATTTAATGACAAAGAAAAAGTCCCCTTGGCTGCAAACTGGTTAAGGTCTTATGTTCCATGGAAGAATAAAGGGGAACGAGGGACAGGAGGAGGAGATGAAGTAGGAGACCTGTTGCCACATAACTGCTCCCTTCCCATGCCAGTGTAAATCACACAAAATGTTCTTCCTTTTACCATTTGAAAACTAGTAAAAAACCTGTCAGTCCCAGCAAAAACTTGAAGCTTGCACATGCAAAGTAAAAATGCACAAGGCAGCTATAAGGTGCAGGAGGAGAAGAAGGGACGAGGAGGAAAAAGAAACACTATTCTAATAAAAACAGGCTTAAAAAGTGGTTAACTCAATAACATCCATAGTTTCTCATTATTTTTGTAATGTGATATTTATATGGTGGATTTGTTTGTCCTTAATCAATCAGTCAGTGCTTTAAATGGGCTTTATCCTTGTGGAGATCTTCCCACACAATACAGTCTAATCTGCAGCTATTCTTGGATTATTAAGTAAAAACCCTTTCCATACCACTGGCACATTAGGCATACAACAGATATACATTTTACTAGACCAATCAGCACTTGATGGGTAAGGTCAATAGCATCATACCAGCTGCCTTTATTTTCCAGGATACTTCCTAGTGCCTATTTTAGGCTCTGTTGACAGAAGAGCATCAGGTCAGTTATAAAAATCCACTTTTGCAAATATGAAGCCAAAAATGTAAGCTTCTTGAACTGAGAACTCTTTTAAAAAATAGGTGCTAAATATACAAGGTTGTGCTTTGCCGTTATATAGAGAGGTGGCTGCTTCAGGTGGCGCCTTCACATTCCAGCGCAGACAGCCCAGTCGCAAACAGGTCTCTCTCGCTCGCTCGCTCTACCGCCCGATACAGCCACGTGTGTCTCTCGTTAGCTTGCTAACTATCCATTCGTAGCCAGATTATCGATAGCTAGATACTGGTCAGAACTCGCTTGATATTCGGCTGAGTTTTGGCTCGACTACGCTATCGTTATTCGTCTGCGGGTGGGTTATTAGCGGCCCGAGAGCACAGCATTGTTGAAGAGCCAGTCATACCAGCCAGTTTTTTGCACGATTGTCTAGAGAACTAAGGAGGAAGCACGCTTGGGTGTCCTTTTTAGGATACTCTAACAAGCCTTGCCTACTCCGAAGGGACCTAGCTTTCGCTACAGACCGCAATTGCCCATCATTGATTTTCCTATCATGTAAAAAACAAGCAGCCGCACCCACACCAAGAAAGAGGATGGCCATACCAGCAGCCTCACCGGCAGGCGCCCCTATCGCAGCGCCTCGCACACCTACGCCAACTGAAGCCGCCCCAGTCGTGGCGCAGGAACCTACCGGCACCCGCCTACGAAGACAGCAGCCTGGAGCCCTCAGCAGCGACAACATCATCCAGTGCTCACGTTGTAACAAGGCGTGGCACACAGCCGCAAACTGCCGCAACAGCCCAGCATGCCGCTACTGCTCTAAGCCGCACAACTTTAAGGAGTGCCCACTTGCCAAGAAGGACCCCGACTTTAAAAAGCCTAACAGTAGCAGAAGGTGTTCAAACTGTGGAGGGCCCCACAGCGCCAGATACCTGGGCTGCACCTACCTAAAAAAGTGCAAGCAGCAAGCAGCAATTCCAAGAAGTGAGAGAAGACCAGAGAAAGTGATTCCAGTCGCAAACAACAACGCGACAACCCAGGAAGTGAGAGCACTCAAAATCGCAGTCCAGAAGCTGACAGCAGACAAAGAGAAGGCCACCGCTGAAAGACTCGAGATGCTGTGTCTAATCTCCCAAACACTCGACGAAGTCAAAGCCCAGAAGCGAGACAGAATAGCAGAAGCTGCGCACCACACCAAGCTGCTAGCAGAAGTAAATGAAGCAAGCAAAAAACTACAAGGCCTTCTGTCACAGCTGAAAACAGAACAGGACCAGGCAGCAGCCTACCGACAAGCCGAGAGAGAAGAAAGAAAGGCAGAGACGGCCTTACTTAACGAAGCCAGAGAGTCCGCGTACAGAGAAGTCGCACTGCTAGTAAAAACAACAGCAGAAGCAGAAGCAGCTACACGAGAGGCAAAACAAGAACGAGAACTCTTACTAACAGAGAGAAGCAAGGCACCAGCCGCAAAACCAAACATCAGCAGGGCCGACAAAAGTACAGAAACAGAAACCGATGAGGGAGGCACTGTCCAGCCAGTTGAAGAAGCCGTGTCCGAAGCTACAGAGGCGACCCCAACCACAGATGAGGCCACTATTCCTGAAGGAGGCAAAGAGGCGGTAGCCATAAAGGTGGAAAGCGAGGCTGACCTTCTAAAAATGATAGAAAGCTTTAACAAACTGAACCACCCACACAGGATCGAGCTCGATAGTAGAAAACGCTACGATATCGTGTATGACGAGCCAGAGCTGGAGAAAGTTTACTTGCTGCCCGCTGTGGAAAGGCAAGCCTTCTTTGATAAAATCAACGGACTCCAGGACCAGATAGAAGCAGCCCGAAAACAGCTGGCCCATGCAAGATGGAAACAAAGGAGTCAGGGTACACCAAACCGACGCAACCGCAAGTACTGACAAGCCACCAAAACAAGACGAAGCCAGCAGCCAATCGAAAACCTCCAAGCCGCCATGTCACCCAGTCTCCGTGGAACTAGCCAACCTCACTGACGCGACGCAGCCCAGTAAACCAGATTGACCACTCCCACCCATCCCGTCCCAGGCCACCCGGCACATGTGGCTGTCCTTCTCAGGACAGCCATGTCCACTCCCTAAACCTGCAAGCCGCCCGCCAAGCCCACGCTGCTAACAAGACGCAACAAATGCAAGACAACTCAGGCGAAAATGTTCGCCACAAGAAAGAAATTTAAATCAAACCACAATTGCAACAGACTTCAATATAGCAAGCCATCAGGTAGCTGAAAGAATTTTTGTTCTTTATGAATCAGGTGGCGCCTTAAATGGGTGGCACAAGCAGAGAAATAAAAATACAATTTGCATAACGGCCACATATTATGGCGGCCAAAAACAAACCCTGACTCATTAGGTCGTGTGTTGTAAACATTCAAAAACTTGAATTCGAAAATAATGAGGAACAAAAAAATGAAAAATGATAAAACTACTGACTACTTAGGGATAATTGAAGCCTTTATATCTGAAAATAGTGGCACAGAAGTTGTAAATAGTGCCCGAAAATCTGCTCTTTGTGGCTGTGGCGCCATTGAAACTTGGCTAAATATGATTGGTGCCGCATTGGTAACAGTTTTCACCGCCGAGAGTATATCCTGCGCTGCTACGCGCGGATGGGTGGTTGTGGGGGGGGGGGGGGGGGGGGGGGGGGGGGGGGGGGGGGGGGGGGGGGGGGGGGGGGGGGGGGGGGGGGGGGGGGGGGGGGGGGGGGGGGGGCTAAACTAGATGGCTGGGACTCAACAGCAAATAAATTGGAGGAAATTGCAGGAGATGCGGTAGCTGCTGCTCGTGAGTACCAGCCATCTAGTTTAGGCCGCCATAATATGTGGCCGGTATTCTGAGTATAGACGGTGTGGCATTTAGAAGATTTGTGTCATATGGAAAAAATCTACTGCACGGCCCTGCAAATTTATCACCATCTTTTTTCTCTCATTAATAAGTGGTGATTCTGGCTGTTATCCAAACATATCTCTGATTTCTTCCTTTTTTTGGGTGGGGGATGGGTGCGGGGTCATTCCACTTAATATTCTATCTATCCCCTGTTTTTAATAGTTATCAAATTAAAAATATTACTGCCCTATTCTCATCAATAAGTATGGATAAGCAAGCAAGCAACAACAACAAAAACTGCAAACATACCCAAACACACACACAACTACATAACCTAAACAACTTTGTCAACACAACATTTTTTTTTTTAAATAAGAGCTCTAAATCAAACAGCTGTAGCACCGTTGTTGAAAGGTTAGCTCCAAAGACCTTTATAAACTGCAGTTAAACAAATTACAGATTTAAAAAAAAAAATCATTTTTCATTTTCACTACTGGAAAACTCGAGAAACAAGCAGCAACAAGTGACTAATCCAAGCTGGAATGTAAATTTGTAAAGAAAGGTAGGTCTGCTACTGTGGCGCACTCCTCCGATGTTGAACTCCAGCTGTTTGACTCTGAGAGTGGAGATGTTTTAATTAATTATGAAAGAACGAATTTA